CTGAACAGCATCAACGTCTCAATCCAAGGAGGCCACATCTGTCCTTGGAGTTGGTGACAGCATCGCTGGCTTTATGAAGAAAACAAACGTGTGGAAAAGAAAGATGCTAGCTGGAACGACGGACACGTTCCCCCAACTGAACGAAGAGAACCGGTCTGTTGATGTGAACGTTGTGACGTCACACCTGACATCACCGTGTGAGCACTTCAGCTCTTACTTCACTGATGCCCGGGACAGAAAATGGCCTCACAGGTCAGGCTGAAGAGCAGCTCTTGGAACCGTCCGGCGATCGAACGCCGAAGGCCAGATTCCAACCGGCAAGTCAACCAAAGGTTTGGGCCTCCCTGTCGCAGGTTCCTGAACCGGCTCCCCGTTCCTACCTCCTCTCTGGGAATCATTTTCCACTCTGACTGTGATGGAAAGTAAGTAGAGGGCTTGTTTACAAGTGGAAGATGATCTTAGTCTGCATGTCACCCATCCATCCCTCCAAGAATAGAGAAACGGTGTAGTGAGACCCCGGTGGCGGCGTGGAACGGCAGCGGAACGTCACCGCTTCAAATAGAATCCATTACAGTCTACGGAGGGTTTGAAACCAGCAGCGTTCCGGACTTATTCCAGAAGCGGCACACCGCTCCGCTACAGATGGGGTCAGGTTCCATTTTTGCTGCAAGCCGCTTCTGGGATGCATCAATTTCTGTAGTTAACATCGGGCTAGACAGGAAATCACACACAGTTTCAGTGTAAAATCCCCCGTAATTTTCAAAATAAAAGTACTAGAGCTATGCAAGTTTATATATATGAAGCTTATGTGTGACCCAGCGTTTTATTTACTCTCAGCGTCGTTCCAGAAGTGCAGCGGTGTGTTTTCGTGGCTTTAATCCTGCCGGTGGAGAAGAGCAACGCCACATATGACGTCAAACATGATTTCCTTCTTTTTGGTTTAATGGCGGGTTGCAGAAACAAACCGTGACTTGAGGTCTCGCAGGACCTTGTGATCCAGCAATGAGCACAGGGAGGAAGTCGTGCCGTTGCCAAGACTCCCTGTGAAAAGGACCGCGTTGAAGGTCGCGAGTAAACCCTTCCGCTGCCGTTTGGCGCCGCTGAAGCTTCCAGAGTGAAAGCGGTGAGAGACGGGCTCGTCCTTCTCACTAGAGTCCGTGTTACCGATGACTGGATCAGTGTGGACGAAAGCTTCAGCCAAACATTTCTGATGAGGCTAGGTCTTCCTGTTTTCTGCCGCTGTCTTCAAATTCAGTGTGAAGAAGTCTTAAATGAGTTTATTGTTTAATTGAGTCTTTTCACTTAATTGTTTAGGATGATTTTAGAAAAACGGTGAGTTCAAATGTGAATATTAGTGTTTAAAAGTGTTCAAATATTTGTTATTTTAATTTCTATGAAGTCTACATGACTGTGAAACAGTATTTATGCTGAAAAGTGTGAAATAAAACTCTTCTCTGCGGTATCTGGGAGCAGGACACTTTAGATCTCATCAGCCTGACGTTTATCGGGCTCCCTGGCCCTGAAGCACGGGTTCTCGGCTAAATTTGCTCAAGGGCCAGAGTTTTTCTCCAGCAGACACCATGAGGGCCAGAAGCTCTTCTAAAGAGAAGTTCAAGTATTATTGTGTCTTCATTTATTTTTGTTTAAAGGGGCCTGGCTTACCTTCGAAGCTGTGTGGACTGTAGTGTTAGTTGTGTTTGGAGAACGTGAACAGTTCATGTCTGGGACGGGAGTTTTGCTGCAAAGTCCCCCGATTGGGATCTTTAGGGCGCAAAGGGGTGGGGGCCGGGTGGAAAGGTCTGACGGGTTGCATGAGGCCCACGGGCCAATCAGCTGTTCTGATTCTAGAAGGTACTGACACTGTTCAGAATGCAGCAGCAGGTGGTTTTGTGTGGACCATAGAAGAGCTGTCAGGACTCCAGACTGGCGGGACGTGTGTCTGACGGAGTCCTGACATCATCAGCGGCCTGACACTGACTCATGTTGTGTGTGTGTGTGTGTGTGTGTGTGTGGTTGAGGTGATGCAAGCGTTCCTGATGCCCAGTTATGTCTCATCCTCAGAAGTGGCCCATGCGCTCTCTCCTCTACTGTGGAGCTGTAGGAGAATTGCTATCGGCCAATCAGATGCCTCCACCAGGCTACAAGGGGTCGTGCCCTCTGAGCCCAGCTGAAGCAGCTGACGTTCGGATTCATGACTGACCCGCAGAACCCCCACGCCCGACCTGGGGGAAGGAAGCACACGAGTCACTCCACTAATCACACTAATCACAACAGTTCACCATTACTTCACTTTCATTTCACCGTTACTCACACCACTAAGCTCACCATGCAGCTGCTTGTTGCTGTGACCTTTGACCTTTAGTTTCCACACGTCCTCCTTTCATGTTGAATAAACAATTCAGCTGTTGTGAGTTTGTCTCTTCTTGAATTGGAGTGCGTGTGTGTGTGTGTGTGTGTGTGTGTGCGTGCGTGCGTGCGTGCGTGCGTGTGTGTGTGTGTGTGATTGTGTGTGTATGTGTGTGTGTGTGTGTGTGTGATTGTGTGTGTGTGTGTGTGTGTGTGATTGTGTGTGTATGTGTGTGTGTGTGTGTGTGTGATTGTGTGTGTGTGTGTGTGTGTGTGATTGTGTGTGTATGTGTGTGTGTGTGCGTGTGTGTGTGATTGTGTGTGTGTGTATGTGTGTGTGTGTGTGTGTGTGTGTGTGTGATTGTGTGTGTATGTGTGTGTGTGTGTGATTGTGTGTGTGTGTGTATGTGTGTGTGTGTGTGTGTGTGTGTGATTGTGTGTGTGTGTGTGTGCGTGTGTGCGTGTGTGTGTGTGTGTGTGTGTGATTGTGTGTGTGTGTGTGTATGTGTGTGTGTGTGTGTGTGTGTGTGTGTGATTGTGTGTGTGTGTGTGCGTGTGCGTGTGTGTGTGTGTGTGTGTGTGTGTGTGATTGTGTGTGTGTGTGTGTGTGTGTGTGTGTGTATGTGTGTGTGTGTGTGTGTGTGATTGTGTGTGTGTGTGCGTGCGTGCGTGTGTGTGTGTGAGTGTGTGTGATTGTGTGTGTGATTGTGTGTGTGTGTGTGTGTGTGTGTGTGTGTGTGTGTGTATGTGTGTGATTGTGTGTGTGTGTGTGTGTGTGTGTGTGTGTGTATGTGTGTGATTGTGTGTGTGTGTGTGTGTGTGTGTGTGTGTGTGTGTGTGTGTATGTGTGTGATTGTGTGTGTGTGTGTGTGTGTGTGTGTGTGTGTATGTGTGTGATTGTGTGTGTGTGTGTGTGTGTATGTGTGTGTGTGTGTGTGTGTGTGTGTATGTGTGTGATTGTGTGTGTGTGTGTGTGTGTGTGTGTGTGTGTGTGTTAAAATCCTGTCATTGGTTCAACAGCCCTGGCTTGCTGCACCAGGATGTCCCTCACAACTCTGGGAAGATGTTCTGCAGATTCCACGTTCCTCTTCGGTCGTGGTAGACATGAACTGTGGAGGGGGGGGGGGGGGGGGGGGGAGAGACACCGGTTGACCTCAGAGTGCCGTATGAACGGTCATAATTATTGTGTATTATGTGTTGGTGACAGATAGGGTGTGGACCTGGCTGGTGGTCATTTTAACTCAATATTAATATTCGATGTTCTGCTGAATGATGAATTATTACACAAAGAAAGTTTGGGTCAGCAGAACAAAACTCATCATAGTTGTACAACACCACACCGTTAGCTGTGAGCGAGGTGAGAGTGTGTCTGCAGGAACAGGCGGGGACCAGAGGGACGTACAGGTGAGCTCCTCACACGAGGAGCTTCGGCTCTGTGGTGCTCACATTTACACCAGAACTCAGCCTCGTCTGAGAGAACGAACCGCGGGCGGGGGAGCGGATTCCAGCTCAGACCGCTTCACTCCTTACACAAACTGGGCACAGCTCCACCAGCAACAGGCCAGCGTTCAAGGCTGCCCAGTAAATCTGTCCGGCCCGTGCGTGGGGAGGCTGTTTCCCATGCAGTGATGACTAATTTGGAGCTGCAGGAGTAAAGCGGAGGCTACAGAAGGACAAACTGCAGACGGTTAAATTCAACCAGAAAAGAGGCAGAACCTTAAATGGGATTCTGAGAGCCTACACCGAGTCTCTTCTGCTGTTCTACTTCTGAAGATTATCCTGCCTTGGTGCCACGAACCCTCTGCTGCAGCTGGGGTTCACGTTCAGGTCCTCATCACGGCCTCAGATCCAGCCAACATCAACATCCGTTCCTCTGGTGCTTGAAGACGTTTCAGCTCTCCTCCAGAAGGCTTCTCCGTGCTTTAGGCCTTAAACGTCTGAGGAAAAGTAGCCCCGCCTACTCCCAGTGGGAGGAAATTGCAGCCTCACCTGTCCAAATATTCACCCCTGCACCCCTTAACTGCCCTTCATAGAAGACGGTGGCCTTCAGCCGTAGCCCTGACCCACCCTTCATCATCTGGTCTTTGTTGGTAACTTTATCTTTTCTGCTCGTGTGACCATCTGATCTGTTTTATCTTGAAAAATGAACTTTTCTCACTTCGTAGGATTTACACGAATGCAGCTGATGATGAAACGTTAGAACCAGCATCGACACGTCCGACCCACAAACGCTCCGTGAAGCCCCCCTGAGGTACGTCATCAGAGTTCAGAGCGCCAATCTGAAACGTATTCGTCGTGAAAAATCAACAACCGCAACGAGTTATAAGGATTAACACTCATGCAGCACCATCGCCGAGTAAACACACGAAACCAGAGGAGGTCAAAGAGCATCACCAACAGGGACCTCGCAACAGATCGATCCAGGCCCGGACGCTCAACGACCTGCTGACCGACGGGATGGACACCGACGGAAACTGGACTCCTACAGGCTGTGGAGCTCAAGATGTCGAGGTTAGGGTTAGGGACAGCTCGTGTTAGATATTGATATGATGACACAGGTAGGAGGAGGCTGAGATGAAAATCAGCAAAGAGATTTATGGACGTGGAGAAAGAGGACATGAAGTTAGTGGGCGTGAGGATAGAAGCTGCAGAAGACAGGACTAGAAGGAGACAGATGATTGGCTGTGGAAGCTCTCGAAGGGACACGCCCAAATGACCACAATAGCAACTAAAATTCTTCATTCTACCCTAAGCCAGGTGACGCCATCCAGGTTACTCAGGTGTGCCACACACGGGTAACCACTGCTGGAGCTCGCTGATCGTCAGGCTGAACCAGCGGAATGATCAGTGGAGTCCCGCTGAGACTCCCGATGACCCGTCACCAGATCCCGCCACGAACGCACCGGGAACGCTTCAGAAGCAGAAGAAGACTTTAGCTCCTGCTGCTGGCGTCAGCACCGGTCGGTTTATAAAAGGGGAGTTGAGTTCTGGTCCTGGAGAGCCGCCGCCCAGCGTGTTTTAGTGGTTCCTCTGTTCCATCGCGCTTCATTCAGTGGTTAAACCACCTGCTCAGCAGCTCATCAGGCTCTGCAGAAGCCTGTCAATCACCTGCTGATTAAATCAGGTGTGTTGAAGCAGGTTAAAGCTGAAACATGCTGGACACCGGCCCCCCAAGCTCAGAATGGAACACCCCTGATTTATAACCAGACCGTTAAAGTTCAGTCGAACAAGCAGTGGAAGAGGTGAAACGGGAACCGTCGCATAAAACCTCTTTCAGGCGTTTGCCTCCCCAGGTTTACCATCCCTCTGCGTGCACACAGATGTTTTTGCCTCTGGAGCTGCTTCAATCAACCCTGAATCCTCCTTGTGCTGACATAATCAGCATATTTCCACTATCTGCTGCTCATTATGGCCGTACACCCCGATTACAGGCTGGATTTATGGAGCACGGAGGACACACTCCCATGTGTGTGTGTGTGTGTGTGTGTGTGTGTGTGTGTGTGTGTGTGTGTGTTAGAAGTAACGAGGCAAAGACGATACGTGAGCACATGTGGTCATGCTGAACTCAGTCTGTGAAGCCCATGTCTCCACTGCTTGACAGGAGCTGTATATGAAGATCGTACCCTGGTGGGTGGAGGGGTTTGAGTGTCCCGGTGATCCTAGGAGCCACGAGGTCTTATGATCAGCAACATCGCCTGAAACAGTGTTCCCTCGCCCAGACGCGGGCCACCTGGCCCCCCTTTGGAGCCAGGCCTGGAGGTGGGGCACGTTGGAGAGGGCCTGGCGGCCCAAGAGTCTGGCTAGGCACAGTTCAAGAGAAGACACGGGTCCCCCATCACTTGTGGGAGGGGCCAAAGGGGTAGGGTGCAGTGTGTGTTGGGTGGTGGCTGAAGGCAGGAACCTTGGCGGTCTGATCCTCAGCTACAGAAGCTAGAGCTAGGTACCTGGAGAAAGAGCTTGAGATGGTGTGCAAGGTTGAGAGGTTCCAGCCAGACATGGTCGGTCTCACCTCAACGCATGGCTCGGCCTACGGAACCAGTTTCCTCGAGAGGGGTCAAACACTCTACCACTCTGGAGTCGCTCCCACTGAGAGGCGCCAAGCAGGGGTGGGCATACTAGTTACCCCCCATCTTGGTGCCTGTACACAGGGTGAACGAGAGAGCAGCCTCCTTCTGCCTGGTGTGTGTGTGTGTGTGTGTGTGTGTGTGTGTGTGTGTGTGTGTGTGTGTGTGTGTGTGTGTGTGTGTGTGTGTGTGTGCTTACCGTAAATCCTCTAATAATGGCCTGTATTCCATTACCGGCCAGGTCTCCTACATTAGCCGGTCTCGCGGTCAGTGCGCGTAACTAACGGCACCAACCCAGCCGCAGTTTCCATAACTTTAAAGTACTATTGATCTTAAAGTATTTTAATAAATAGCGTACTTACCCACCGGTAATGAAGTAGTCTCACAAAACATGTTTCGGCGTTTTATCGAGCAGCTTGGAAACGCGGCTACAAAAACAGCAGGTGAACAGTTTGATGCCGTTTTCACGCGTCCTCACCGCAAATAGCTCGTAGAGCGCTAATGTTGTTAGCGGTTAGCTCAGTGTTGTAACGTGAAACTGGATGAGGATTAAACAGTTGGAGGATTTTATTTTTTTTCTTCAAACCAAACGAGACACAAACCGTTACATTTTGGAGCGGTAAGGTGTCTGTCGCCTTTAGTTGTGAATCAATAACCTACTTATCACCGAGTGTTTACAACGCACTACCGGCATGTTTGCTACGTTCACTACCACACTTGGATGTAGCCTGAAACAACGGTGTTTGTTGTAAATGTCCTATATGCATACATACGTACGATGTTAACTGTTCATTTATTTATTTATTTATTCTTTATTTACCAGGAAGGTCCCGTTGAGATTAAAAACCTCATTTTCAACGGAGTCCTGGCCGAGAGACAGCAAAAGTTACAGTTACAAAAGTTACAGTTACACAGATGTAACTGTGTAACTGTGATGTAACTGTAACAGAGGGCAGTTACGACACGGGGAATCCGTCTCAAGGGTTCTTAGTCTGGTTTTAATGTGTTCAAGGAGATAAACTTGTTTCATTTCCAGTTTTCCTGCAGCCTGGTCCATGCACAAGGAGCAGAGTGAACTGTTCATTTTCAATAAACAAACTTAGTGTTTTACATGTTCACATAAACACAAAATCTTGTTTTTATTCATTCTACTGGTGGTTCATTTAGCTCACGTAGTTCTTCTTCCTTCCTCCTCCTCCTCTTCTTCTTCCCTCCTTCTTCTTCCTTCCTCCTCCTCTTCTTCTTCCTTCCTCCTCTTCTTCTTCCCTCCTTCTTCTTCCTTCCTCCTCCTCCTCCCCTCTTCTTCCTTCCTCCTCCTCCTCCTCCCCTTCTTCTTCTTCCTTCCTCCTCCTCTTCTTCTTCCTTCCTCCTCCTCTTCTTCTTCTTCTTCCTTCCTCCTCCTCTTCTTCTTCCTTCCTCCTCCTCTTCTTCTTCTTCTTCTTCCTTCCTCCTCCTCCTCTTCTTCCTTCCTCCTCTTCTTCTTATCCCTTCTTCTTCTTCCTCCTCCTCTTCTTCTTCTTCTTCCTTCCTCCTCCTCCTCTTCTTCTTCCTTCTTCTTCTTCTTCCTTCCTCCTCCTCCTCCTCTTCTTCCTTCCTCCTCTTCTTCTTATCCCTTCTTCTTCCTTCCTCCTCTTCTTCTTCTTCCTCCTCCTCCTCTTCTTCTTCTTCTTCCTTCCTCCTCCTCTTCTTCTTCCTTCCTCCTCCTCTTCTTCTTCCTTCCTCCTCTTCTTCTTATCCCTTCTTCTTCCTTCTTCCTCTTCTTCTTCTTCCTTCTTCTTCTTCCTTCCTCCTCCTCCTCCTCCTCCTCCTCCTCCTCTTCCTTCCTTCCTCCTCCTCCTCTTCTTCTTCCTTCCTTCTTCTTCTTCCTTCCTCCTCCTCTTCTTCTTCTTCCTTCCTCCTCCTCCTCCTCCTCTTGTTCTTCCTTCCTCCTCCTCTTCTTCTTCTTCCTTCCTCCTCCTCTTCTCCTTCCTCCTCCTCCTCTTCTTCTTCCTTCCTTCCTTCCTCCTCCTCTTCTTCTTCCTTCCTCCTCCTCCTCTTCTTCTTCCTTCCTCCTCCTCCTCTCCTTCCTCCTCCTCCTCTTCTTCTTCTTCCTTCCTCCTCCTCCTCCTCCTCTTCTTCTTCCTTCCTCCTCCTCCTCTTCTTCTTCCTTCCTCCTCCTCTTCTTCTTCCTTCCTCCTCCCCTTCTTCTTCCTTCCTCCTCCTCCTCTTCCTTCCTCTCCTTCTTCTTCCTTCCTCCTCCTCCTCTCCTTCCTCCTCCTCCTCTTCTTCTTCCTTCCTCCTCCTCTTCTTCTTCCTTCCTCCTCCCCTTCTTCTTCCTTCCTCCTCCTCCTCTTCCTTCCTCTCCTTCTTCTTCCTTCCTCCTCCTCCTCTCCTTCCTCCTCCTCCTCTTCTTCTTCTTCCTTCCTCCTCCTCCTCTTCTTCTTCCTTCCTCCTCCTCCTCTCCTTCCTCCTCCTCCTCTTCTTCTTCCTTCCTCCTCCTCCTCTTCCTTCCTCTCCTTCTTCTTCCTTCCTCCTCCTCCTCCTCCCCTTCTTCTTCTTCCTTCCTCCTCCTCTTCTTCTTCTTCCTTCCTCCTCCTCTTCTTCTTCCTTCCTCCTCCTCCTCCCCTTCTTCTTCCTTCCTCCTCCTCTTCTTCTTCTTCCCTCCTTCTTCTTCCTTCCTCCTCCTCCTCCCCTTCTTCTTCTTCCTTCCTCCTCCTCTTCTTCTTCTTCCTCCTCCTCCTCTTCTTCTTCTTCCTTCCTCCTCCTCTTCTTCTTCCTTCCTCCTCCTCTTCCCCTTCTTCTTCTTCCTTCCTCCTCCTCTTCTTCTTCTTCCTCCTCTTCTTCCTTCCTCCTCCTCCTCCCCTTCTTCTTCTTCCTTCCTCCTCCTCTTCTTCTTCTTCCCTCCTTCTTCTTCCTTCCTCCTCCTCTTCTTCTTCCTTCCTCCTCCTCCTCCCCTTCTTCTTCTTCCTTCCTCCTCCTCTTCTTCTCCTTCCTCCTCTTCTTCCTTCCTCCTCCTCTTCTTCTTCCTTCCTCCTCCTCCTCTTCCTTCCTCTTCTTCTTCTTATTCCTCCTCCTCCTCTCCTCCTCTTCCTCCTCTTCTTCTTCCTTCCTCCTCCTCCTCTTCCTTCCTCTTCTTCTTCTTATTCCTCCTCCTCCTCTCCTCCTCTTCCTCCTCTTCTTCTTCCTTCCTCCTCCTCCTCTCCTTCCTCCTCCTCCTCTTCTTCTTCCTTCCTCCTCCTCTTCTTCTTCCTTCCTCCTCCTCTTCTTCTTCCTTCCTTCCTCCTCCTCTTCCTTCCTCTTCTTATTCCTTCTTCATACCTCTTCTTCTTCTTCTTGGCAGTTGACAAACAACTTTAGAGGTGCATTACCGCCACCCACTGGTAACAAGTGTGGATCTGGTTGGCTTGGGTTTATGTGGCAGGTGAAACAGGTGAGCAGCATGAGCTTGATGACTGGGAGCAGGTGTGGCAGATGAGTCTAAGGAGAGCAGGCCGTGGTTGTCATGGAGATGAGGACAGGCAGAGGTGGATCATTACACTTTCAATGTCCACATGGATGTTAAAACCCCCCACTGTAATGACCTGATCAGTATTTAGCACCAAATCAGATAAAAAGTCTGAGATCTGATCCAAAACCTCAGAGCAAGGGCCTGGTGGACGATACAAGACTACAAACTAGACTCTTCAGTCTGCAGCCTTGGTGAGTGTGCCCTGCTGTTATCACCCCGCCTCAGAGAGTACACTTTAGCTGGCTGGCTCGAGAAGAGACCATTCATTTATCAGGCTTCACTTTCTCTCGTGTATCTCTTTAGGCTTCGAGCCTTTGTTTGGCAGTTTCCACTGCTTCTGGTACGGGTTAGGGGCTGGCTGTAGCCCCTGGGTCCCGGTGTTCTCATTGTGCCTTTCTGGAGCTCCGATATGGCTCACTTCTCTCTGTGCTGCCCTCCATCCGTCCTTCTATCTATCTATCTATCTATCTATCTATCTATCTATCTATCTATCTATCTATCCCAGGTTGAGCAAACATAAATAAATATTATATATATTACACATATATGACACAGTTGGGTGTTATTGGGATTTTATAAATGCAAGTTTCACTAATATAATCTGGATAACCTCACGTTCAGCACAGACAACATTGTGGAGACCCCCCCTTGAGGGACTTGGGACCCCAAGGGGGGGTCCATAGATCTAGAAGACCCCCAAACCATGCAAGGCTTTTATTTGTGCATTCAGCTTTTAACACAACGGAACGTCCCATCTGGGTGAAGAAACTCCTGCAACTTTACAATCTTGGTGTTGGTTTGATGTTAGGAGACCGCTGTCATCCTTTATATACACATGAGTGAGTGAGTGAGTGAGTGAGTGAGTACCTTTAACAATAGGCACCTTCTCAAGGTTGCTGAAGACATGGTCGTAATCAGTCTGCTGCAGAATGGAGATCCAGCATGGACCTGTTCTTGACTATTTTATCAAGTGATGAACGTTACCTGAAGCTAAACGTGTAAAACAAACGACGCGGCCAGAGCTTCGCCCTACTGCCCCGGCACTGATCGGGGATCTGGAGAGGAGAGGACACTGTGGACCCTTACACGTACCTGGGAACGCGCTGCAGCAGTCTGGGGCCTCCAAGGATGGTCTTCTCTACGACGGTTGGCTGTTTTTAGTATTGATAAGACACCGGTGCTTTTATTTTACTGATCTTTCATCGAGTCGGTTTGGTTTTATTGATTGGTGGCAGTTTTATACTCCGTCTTGTCAACACAGCTAGCAAAATAGCAGATATTTAGCAGTGCCCCCAGTCAGATATCTGGAACAGACAGCTTGTGGAAAAAGCTCGACCCATCCTAGCCCGCAGGCCGTCCCCTTTACGGTAACCTGTACTGGTTCTCCGTCCTTCAGGTCGTACACGAGCTGCCGTCAGTAGAACTATAGCTCAGTCCCAGGCACCGTTAACGCTCCTCATCAGTTTGAACCTACCGCAGCAGACTGCACGCGTGTGATGTTTACCTCTCGTCACTGAACACGCTGTGTTGTGTTGGTGTGTGGGACAGCTGAGAGCTTCACTGCGACTCCAGCTGTGGGACAACTCGAACATCTGTTTTACAGAGAGAAGGAAGCCGCGTTGCATCAGTTACGTCTTTAATCACTTGGTGGTTCAAACACATGACGGGAAGTTTTAGTGCACATTTCAATCATTACATAAAACATGTTGCTGCGACGGTACCGTCATTCAGCAAGTGATCCAACATTCACACGTCCACTCAGGTTTTCACTCCCTCAACCATCAGACGTCTGTTTGCTCCGGCTGCTGGCACGGATGTCGGAGCCACGCGGGAACGTTTAGGGAAAGCACGACACAAAGGCACGGCCAAAGCAGAGGAGTCATCCGGACTTCTGAGCTCGTGGGATTGCTTTTCCTTTTTTGGAATGCATAACAGGAAGAATTCTTGAGGAAGGATGAGAAACAATAAATATTGTTGGCGACAATATTTATCGTAGGCAGAAATGACTCGACTGTAAAAGGCCACTAAACTCCACGAGAGTCTTGAATCCACGTTTCTGCTTCATAAATACTCACCTTATTGTGCTTCATTTGCTCAGGGTCAAAGGTCAAAAACGGTCCCTCACATCTAGAGCATTTACAGGCACACACTTCAAGTCATTTCAGGTCCAACAGAGGATTCACATGTTGAGACAAAACCTCCGAACCATTAAAGTCTTTTGGAACCTTTTCTCAAAGGGACGAAACCCAAAACCCACTTTGAATGGCTCGGCGGGTAGAACACCTTCAGTTTGTCACATGTGTCCATGATGTTCATGCAATTAAAAAATATGATCTACACGTAACGACATCACAGGAAGTCAGATTTGGACACATCACAGTATTTGGCATTGATGGCAGAAAGATGCTTTCATAGCATGAGCTCTTTGGTAGGAACGTCTCCATCCAGTCCCAGGACCTGGAGCGAGTCTCCAAACACCACACCAACACGGGGTCGGAGGGATCCGCCTGAGTGTTATTGAACAACTGATCAGGTGTCGATCAGGGCTAGGTTCAGCCAGAAGAGCTCTCATCAGCAGCAGGAGGCGAGCTCAAGGAGACCAGCAGCCACAGTGTTTATCTAACATCTAACATCTCCGGCTGGTGTTCATGGGTCTGGGTTGTGAGGAGCGCTGTGGTGGAAAGTTTCAGGACCTTCCACAATGAGCCACTTTAGGACTTTAAGAAAACCAGCTGTTGCTGGCATGCCCACTATTCCATTAATTGTTTGCTATGAGGTTACGAGCTCCAATATCTGGGAGGGGCTCGTAATAGATCTGCTGCTCCTCCACCGTACACAGGTGGTGGTTCTATGCTAATGCTAACAAACGGCTCATTTTGGGTACACCATTCCTGAAACCAGCGACAGGAAACGGAGAAACTGTTTTCACGTTGGCGGTGTTTATAGAGGCTGTAGAGACCCACACGGCAGCACAAACGGATGCTCAGGGTGAGTTTAGAATGATTTGTCCCATTTAATGTTCTAAACATCTGAAGGTGTGGCTGGAACCAAAACAAACTTTGGACTGAGGCTGCATCAGCAGGTCTTACATGATTTTAACTGTAATGGGGACAGAACGTCGTGATGGAGACATCATGCCTGGGCTGACTGTGACAGCCGTGAGAGACAGGACGGGTCACACCGGACATGAAACAGATGACTTCAGATTATAAAATGATCAAGAATTCTGATTCCAAAAAGTCAACAAAGAACGACATGTTGAGAATATTCAGATTACACGGGACTCGTGTCATCGTCGTAGCGCAGACAACCACCTGAGTTCATGCAGACGCCAGTGATGCATGTAGTCCACCGGCTGTTGTTAAAGCTGAAACCGGGTCAAATGGTTGTGTCCGGTTAACGGCTTCAAACACACCGCTCACAAGAATGAAAGGAACACTTTTTTATTGGCCTGGCGTGAAATCAGTTAAACCTGTCTGATAATTTCCTGGTTGATTAAGCAGCTGAGGACATTGTTAATCACTGTCAGCTGTACTGGTGTTCATGGACGTAACGACAGGTGCACTAAAGGGGCAACAATTACAAAACCCTCACAACAGGACTGGTTTAACATGTAGAGGTCAAGTTTCTCCCTCTGGATCTCTTTCGCTGGTTTTCCACTCGTGCTGGTTTTGGCCCCCTGCTGGCAGTATGAGGCGATGCCTTAACCCTACAGAAGGTGCACAGGTTGTCCAACTTCTCCAGGATGGCACATCCACACGTGCTGCAGCAAGAAGGTTTACTGTGTCTCCCAGCACAATCTCCAGAACATGGAGGAGATTTCAGGAGACTGGCGGTTATTCTGGGAGGGAGAGCTGGACAGCGCCGTAGAAGGTCCACAACCCATCAGCAGGACCGATACCTGCTCCATTGTGCAAGGCGGAACAGGCTGAGCTCTGCTCGTGCCCTACAGAATGACCTCCAGAGGGCCACTGGTGTGAACATCTCCACCCAAACAATCAGGAACAGACTTCATGAAGATGGCCTGAGGGCCCGACGTCCTGTAGTGGGCCCTGTGCTCACTGCCCAGCACCGTAGAGCTCGACTGGCATTTGCTCAAGAACACCAGAACCGGGAAGTCCGCCACTGGCGCCCCGTACTTTTTACAGACGAGAGCAGGTTCCCCCTGAGCACCTGTGATAGACGTGAAAGAGTCTGGAGAAGACGAGGAGATCGTTATGCTGCCTGCAACGTCTGCCTGCAATGACAGGTTTGGTGGTGGGTCAGTGATGGTCTGGGGAGGCGTATCCATGGAGGGACGCACAGACCTCTACTGCCTAAATGGTGCTCTGACTGCCATAAGGTATGGAGATGAACCCTTTGTCAGACCCTACGCTGATGCAGTAGGTCCTGGTTTTCTCCTGATGCACAACGATGCCCGGCCTCGTGTGGCAAGAGTATGCAGGCAGTACCTGCAGGATGAAGGAACTGAAACAGTTGAATGGCCTTCACGATGCCCTGACTTAAACCCAATAGAACATCTGTGGGACGTTATGTTCCGGTCCATTAGGCGGCGCCAGGTTGCTCCTCAGACTGTACAAGAGCTCAGGGACGCCCTCACACAGATCTGGGAGGAAATGCCACAAGACACCATCCGTTGTCTCATTAGGAGCCCCGACGTTGCCAAGCATGCACACACGCTCGTGGGGCCACACAAGATGCTGAAAAGCAATTAGAGTTGCAGAAATAAAGTTTTTGAAATAACGGACTAGCCTGCCACGTCTTCATTTCGCTCCGATTTTAGGGTGTCTACACAACTGAGCCCTCTGTAGGCTGATAACTTTTATTTCCAGTAAAAGACTCGGCATCCTTTTGTTCCTAAGACATTGCCCTGCCGTTATTTGTATAGATATCCAACTTCATACTGAGATCTGATGTGTTTCTTTAAGGTGTTCCTTTAGTTTCTGTGAGCAGTGTACTTCTGCTGCGTTTGTGTAATACATTTTGTGCCACTAGAGTGCGCAAGAGTGCCGCTATCAACATGTTTCACGGGCGATTGCAGAAGAAATTAGCGCGTCACGTGACCAAATAAACGCGGTCAAACGTGAAGCGGTTAGCAAAGCGCTGGGAACGCAATCAGCCTCCATGCGCCGAGCCTGGCAGAACATGGTGCAGCAAACCGAACCGAGACCAGCAACAGGTCAGTCGGTCCTGACGCTCCTGCTGGCGTCTGACTCCTAATTTAACGAAATGTCAGTTAAATGTAATGCAGCTAAAGTGTGTTTTAACCGTGGCCTCCAGAGGGCGCTCATCAGCACACAAACGCCGGCGGCGCTGCGTATTTGGTGCCAGACGGGCAACAAGTTGAGTCTGACGGACATTCCAGCTGTCATCCCGCTCTCTCGTTACTGCTTCTTCATGAATGTAACGAGTGAAAACGTACATCCCGAACAGACACGCGGTCACTTACAGCAAAGCAGAGACACCACCTCACAGGTGGACCGCAGATGCACCCATCAGCAACTTCCTGTTAACAGCGAGGACTTCCCGACAACAGCATCCAGCCAGCTAACGACCAAACAGCCACAGACAGAAGAGGGTTTCCACAGAAATCAGATGTTCTCAGCAGCTCAGGAGCCTGCAGTCTGGCGTCCTGCTGCAGGAGACCTCTCAGCAGGTTTTTGTTTTTTATGAGGAACATTCCAGCTCGGCATCTGCGATGGATCTAACTAACCAGAGCACTCTGTAGGCTATCTCCACCAGAACCACTACTAGACCCAGGGCCTCAATTAGAAAACTCGATTCATACAAAACCAGGTCTGACAATTGCACACGGGCAGGGGCGGCGTTAGGCCTGGTTCATGCTTCTCCGTCAGCTCCGCAAGGAACTTTCCACACAAACCTTTTCATTCATTTAAAACCCTGATGGGAAATGTGGCTCTGAGCCTGGCCTAAGCACACCTTAGAGACGGGAACCTGCCTGCAGCTAAGCTGGTGAGATGGTGAATGTAGGCCACATTTAGACTTCAAGTCCGACACACACACACACACACACACACACACCAGTCAGCCTCCACTCCATCTGAACCAAGTCTGAAAATGAGAACCTGAATGAAAACATGTTGCATTTAGGAGTATAATAGTGATGGGGTGTATTCTCAGAGGGATCACTGAGCAGGCATAGCCACCATGGATGTTCTGGTACACCAATGGCAGGACCTGGAGTGTTTTTAGAGATTAAAAACATTTCCTGGTCCATGATGATGACCGGCTTATCGGCTGACTCATCACAGATTGCCACAAAGCGTTACTGCTTCTCGCAAGATACGTGACTTTGTGAGACTTCAGGTCAACGATTTTGCCCCGCAGTGACTGGAGGGTGCAGAGGGAGACATTGCGTTCACCCTTCTTGGGGTCATTTTAGCACCTACGGGTTCAAGGTAGTTGACAAATATGAATGAGTTGGTGTCCTTGTTAAAGTCAGTAGTGTTTTATTGTAGTCTTGTAGTGCGACTACAGGTGGAGAACGCTGTAATCTTATGCAGAGCATCTCTGACTCATGACGCTGTCCCTTAAAGGCACACTCGGCAGTTTTGTCTTGCTTTTACAGTCAGCTCCATAAATACTGGGACATGGACACAATGCTAACGTTTCTGGCTCTATACACCACAATGGATGTCCAATTAAAGGAACAAGATGTGCTTGAACTGCAGACTGTCAGCTTTTATTTGAGGGTGTTTACATCCAAATCAGGTGAACGGTGTAGGAATTACAACAGTTGCATTTGTGCCTCCCACTTGTTAAGGGACCAAAAGTAATGGGACAATCTCAGCTGTTCCATGGCCAGGTGTGTGTTATTCCCTCATCATCCCAATTACAATGAGCAGATAAAAGGTCCAGAGATCATTTCAAGTGTGCTACTTGCATTTGTGATCTGTTGCTGTCAACTGTCAAGATGAGATCCAAAGAGCTGCCACTATCAGTGAAGCAAGCCATCATTAGGCTGAAAAAACAAAATAAACCTATCAGAGAGGCAGCAAAAACAGTAGGCGTGGCCTAAACAACAGTTTGGAACATTCTCAACAAGAAGGAACGCACCGGTGAGCTCAGCAACACCAAAAGACCCGGAAGACCACGGAAAACATCTGTGGTGGATGACGGAAGAATCCTTTCCCTGGTGAAGAAAACACCTTCACAACAGTTGGCCAGATCGAGAACACTCTCCAGGAGGTAGGTGTATCTGTGTCAAAGTCAACTATCAAGAGAAGACTCCACCAGTGTGAATACAGAGGGTTCACCACAAGATGTAAACCACTGGTGAGCCCCAAAAACAGGAAGGCCAGATTAGAGTTTGCCAAACATCTAAAAAAGCCTTCACAGTTCTGGAACAACATCCTACGGACCGATGAGACCAAGATCCACTTGTACCAGAGTGATGGGAAGAAGAGTATGGAGACGGATCCTAAGCACACCACCTCATCAGTGAAGCATGGTGCTGGCAGTGTCATGGCGTGGGCATGTATGGCTGCCAGTGGAACTGGTTCTCTTGTATTTATTGATGATGTGACCGCTGGCAAAAGCAGCACGATGAATTCTGAAGCGTTTTGGGCAACATTATCTGCTCATATTCAGCCAAATGCCTCAGAACTCGTTGGACGGCGCTTCACAGAGCAGATGGACAATGACCCGAAGCATACTGCAAAAGCAACCAAAGAGTTTCTGAAGGGAAAGAAGTGGACTGTTTAGCAATGAACAAGTCGATCACCTGACCTGAATCCCACTGAGCGTGCATTTCTCTTGCTGAAGACAAAACTGAAGGGAAACCGCCCCAGGAACAAGCAGGACCTGAAGACAGCAGAGGACTGGCAGAGCATCACCAGGGATGAAACCCAACGTCTGGTGATGTCTACGTGTTCCAGACTTCAGGCTGTAAATGACTGCAAAGGATTTGCAACCAAGTATTGAAACGTAAAAGTTTGATTTACGGTTCTGATTCTGTCCCGTTACTCTTGGTCCCTTAACAAGTGGGAGGCACATATGAAACTGTTGTAATTCCTACACGTTCACCTGATTTGGATGTAAAAACCCTCAAATAAAAGCTGACAGTCTGCAGTTAAAGCTCATCTTGCTCGTTTCATCTGATATCCATTGTGGTGTATAGAGCCAAAAACGTTAGCATTGTGTCCATGTCCCAGTATTTATGGACCTGGCTGCAGCACCCAGTGGACCTGATGAACTCACTGTTGTAAGACTGAAACTCTCCTTGCTGTGATTTTGTATTTTTAACACCTCAGTGTCTCATCAGCCTTCATTTGTGTCTACAGAAGTGGTTCATCACTACATCCAACCAATCAGCTGTGTTCATGTTCTAAAACAAGCAGGAAACATCTGGAAGGAGACTCCTGCACTAGCATGTTGGCTAGCCACTTTACTATTGACCAACAGCGTTCCTGGTGAATAATATCACCAAGATCGTAAGAGGAGGAATCATGTGACTCCAGGGAAAGGCCGTAGTGTGTCAGCACATTCAGAGCGTTGGTACAAGCTACAAGTAGCTAGCTGACAGGCCGGCAGCGCTAGTCCGAGGCAGCCGGGGTCTGTGCGGCGCACAGAGGACTCGATGGTGTGTGAGGACAGGGTTAGACCTTGTCTCTGAGTTCTGGTGATTCAGAAAAGTCCCAGTGTTGACCTGTTAACACGGGGACTTGTTAACACGGGGACCTGTTAACACGGGGACTTGTTAACACAGGGACTTGTCACTTTAGCACATATTGGCTAGGATAGGTGGGATTTATAAGGCAGGAGTTGCGCGGAGCGGAGGTTGTAGGTCTGAAGACGAGTTTATGGATGTAGACGTTCTGAAGGGCTGAAATAGTTTTAGTACCAAGTTTTATAAATGAGGCCCCAGATCTGTAGAACCAATAAATCACCTGAACAGAACCTGTCGCACCGCACAGCTAAAGGATCTCTAAAGGCAGCGTCCTGAAGAAATGCTCAACCTAAAGAACCCAGAACAACATCTAATGTCCTGCAGGTCCCATCTGGTCAGTGCTAAGGTCAGAGGTTATGACTCTGACCTCAGCACGTCTCACAGAGACAAGGGCTTGGGCTAAGCAGAAGTATGGGGAAGGTGTTCCATCTGGAGTCAAACTAACAGTAAAACACGGTGGTGGTAGTGTGATGGTTTGGGGCGGCTCTGCTGCTGCAGGACCTGGTCCACCTGCTTTCACCACGATTTACTCTGACCTTTGACCTTCGCCAGGCCGTTCCTGCTGGAAACCCCTCTGACGTGTCAGAATTCAGACGAATCTGTGAGGATGAGTGGAGGACTGAGCTAAACCCTCCCTGGTGTTGATGAAATACTAAATAATGAAACACATATCAGCTTTTGTGTGATTTACACTAACATCTGTGAAAGTTGCCAGAAAACCACATCATCTTTCCTAAAGGTGCCACCGCCCTGTTAGATTTAACAGGCGTCTAACCCAACGTCAGTTTTAAATATACCACTCATTCATACCGCACATCGTGTTTACCGTCTCCTTTGATCGGTGGGAATAGTAAATGTGTCCGGGACTGTTGAAATTAAACGACTAAGGCCACCTGGGACTGTGAGGTTAGCCGCATGATCCAGTGTATGAAACTTGAGCGGAGTGGTGTGGTGCCACCTTAAACGTCTAAGGACCAGTCCGCTGTGACTGAGGCTCCTGGTGCTGTGCTGTTAAAGGGACAGAGTGGTTTATAAGCAGGACGTGATGCATCCATCTGACCCCAGACCAGCAGCAGCTAAAGGTCCTCAGCACATCTTCAGCGCCTTCCTAAAACCAGCTTTTGTCTCGGATTTTGTTTTGGTTCCAACTTTGCTACCAAAGTAAAAAGTGTCGCGTGTGCCGGATGTTTCTGCCTTGAGGTAAGAGGATAGTGTTGATGGTGACCTTGATGCGTCTGTCAGACCGCTGCGGTCCAGACCAGCAGCACCGTCACCCGATGCTGCTCGGCCGCACAGCAGCTGGGTCGAACTGGGAGTCTTGTGTGGTTTAAAGCAAACGAAGAAGACATCACAAGGCTGTCTCCTGAATGGTAAGACTCTCTGGCTGATCGTCTCTTGGGTCCAAGTCCTCATT